TTACTCATTCTTTTATCCCCAGCCAGTCTTTATCCCTGTGCTGGATAGCTTCAGTTGTCAACTTGACATACCTGGGTTGCGGGAACCTCAAATGACAACTTTCCTTCACTGAACTGGCCTGTGACCATGTCTATGAGAGCATTTTCTTGAATGTTGAGTGATGTGGGAGGTGCCCAGTCCACTGTGGGGGGTGCTACCCATTGGACGGTGATCCTGCGTTGTATAAGAAAGCAGGCTACAATGCACATGTGTTTCTAATCTCTATGTATCTGATTATTACTAGTCACAGTCGGTTACTTTCTGAGCTCCTTGGCCATCTGAGCATGGATATAAAGTCATCAGGTACATTTCAATGGTAATATTTTTCACATCTACTAATTATTAAGAAGCAAATTTTTATGCTTTGAAGAATTTTTTTTCTTTTTTATTTATTTATATACCCACTTCCCAGGTAGCACCCTCCCATACCGCCCCCCACTAGAGCCCTTACACTCTGATATCCCTGCTACTGTCTGCTGTGTTGTTGGCACCCCCAGCCATTCCCCACTACTTGCCCTTCTGGTGAATCTAGTCAGCCTATCTAGAGGTCTTTGTTTTAGGAGGGTCAGCTGTTCTTCATCTAGTGGTAATTAGTTGTCTATATTCCTTTGGATAAGACTGGGGTCTGCTGTTCATTGCCATCAACTCAAAAGAAGGTATCACTTGTCTGGCATTGTTGCTTGTTATATAGCCTTTAGCTATACATATGGACTCTTATGAAATCATGTTGGCCCATTTAATCTTTGGTTATACTTTCCTTTTGGGTGTTTAAGGCCATATAGTTGGTCCTAATAAACTGATTTATTTTTACTCTTAAGGCCATTTGAGCATCTGTTCCTCAGGGGTCACATGGGCTTTGGAAGAGCCCCTGGCTCCTTTCTTTTAGCAGTTCTGCCTGTGTGAAGATATGACAAAGATCCTGCTCAACCGTGGCTGGCTTCACTTGGAAGCATGGAGGAAATATTTCCTCTATGTGGACCCTCCTCTTTGTAGACTGGACACCGGTTCAAGCCCATCTGTACCTGATGACTTTATATCCATGCTCAGATGCCTAGAAGCTCAGAAAGTAACCAACTGTGACTAGTAATAATCAGATATTTAGAGATTAGAAATGCATGTGCAAACATCCAATGTCAATTGCATTGAAAAAGAATTTTTCTGTATGAAACTGTATTTTAATAATGAAATGGAGATCTTTTTTAAAGTTTAAAACCTCATTTAATTTTATGTCTTATAGGGGTTATACGGCATACAATATCGTATAACTGTATTGATTCAACTGTAAACCTAAAAATTTACAAGCAATTTTGAAAGAGATGCACCTTAGCTCTGGAAATTGTTATTGAATATGTCAATGCTGTTGTAATGAAATGCTTCTTCTAATTATATGGTTATTAAATAAATAATTTAAAAGTGTACGATTTTTAAGTATACTTTTTTTTTTTTTTCCTGTTCTTAACATGTACTGTTTTATATTGTAATATTAACATTAGCTCTTGGGGCTAAAAAATGGAAAGGTTATATTTAATAGTGATGTGTTTAGTGTGTCAAGTTGATAAGGGGTCAACTGTGCTGGACTGCCTCAGTTGTCAACTTGACACACCTGGGAAGAAGGATCCTCTTGGGGAATTTCCTCTTTGGACTGGCCTGTGGGCATATCTATGAAGCATTTTCTTGATTGCTGAGTGACGTGGGAGGCCCCAGCCCACTGTGAGTGGTACCACGTGGGGGCAGGTGGCCCCTGAATTGTATAAGAAAGCCAGCTGAGGGCTGGAGAGATGGCTCAGAGGTCAGATCTGGGTTCAATTCCCAGCACCCACATGGTGGCTAGTGGCTGTCTGTAACTCCAGTTCTGGGGGAGCTGATTCCCTCTTCTGACCTCCAAGGGCACTGCATGACACAGGTGTGACCTACCTACATGCAAACAATACACCCATACACATTAAATAAAGATAAATTAAAAAAAAAAAAGAGGACGAGCACAGGTCAGAGGAGCAAGCCAAGAAGCAACATTCCTCCATGATCAGTGCTTCAGCTCTTCCTCCAGATTCCTGCCCTGAGTTCCCTCAGTGGGAGATATAAGATAAAATAAATAAACCCTTTCCTCCACAAGTTGGTTTGGTCAGTGTTTTTTATCACAGCAATAGAAAGTAACTAGGACAACATCTAGCATCCTAGTGAAAAGATTTTTACAAACTACTACCACTACTACTAAAAAAACTAAGAACTATATCAAGAATTATTTTAGAGAGTAAATGAGAGTGTACCACATATGCCCCAAATGTAACATACAGTAACATTTTGAAAACTATCAGCTGTTAATTAGAACGTAAACAGCTATCATTTGATTCCATTGATTTCAAACTTTAACTCAGGCTTAAATAGTTCTACAGAGTGCATGTGTGTGTGCGTGTGTGTGTATATTTACACACACACGCACACACACATTTCTTTATGTGTATCTTTTACTAAAACTTGCCTTAGACTCTTTTTACATATACAAGACATTTAAAAATAAATGTTACAATAGGCACAGTATAGCAATCGCTGTTCCAAGTATATTTCCTGTTACAGGAAATAATTAGTAGAAAATGTGCATCATTACACTGAACAGGGAGGATTGACCTCACTTAGCAAAGGTGATGGTTTCCCAAGGCCTATGCTCAGACTCATTATTACTACAGTGAAGGGTTGTTTTCTCGTCAGTCCTTATGACCCCCAAACTCAGAAGTGCTGATTAAACCCCTCTCAATTAAATAAGTAAAAGCAGAGTGGCTTCGTCTTTACTGAAGGGGAAAACGACTACTCCATGAATATAATTCTGCTCCCTTTCTGCACAGTCTAGTCAGAGATGACATGAGATTAGAAAACAGCAAATCCAATTAGCATAAATAACGGACTGTTTTTACTTTTCACCCCTCATCCATGATCTTCTCCTTCCTTGGCCTCTTTCCATACCATCTTAAACTATAACAAAGGTGAAAAGGGAAAATGGCAAAAATATATTTTTTCAGGATATCATACACTGTCAAGTAATGTGGTCAAAACATCAGAAATAAAAAGTTCTTGTTGTAACCTTTCAGAACTGTCTTTAATCTCCCCGCCTGCATGGATCTTAAACCTCTAAAACTAACTGCTCCACTTACATTGTTATGGTTTGTATAAATTCTGTCTCTCAATTGTGTACCCCCAAAGCAAGAAAGATACTTCTCTTCAGCTTTTGAATCTACATCAAAGTTCCTACCAGAAAACTTAAAAACTGTAAAATGTTTTAAAGTAAATGCACAAAGCATGTGTTGCAAAGAGGCCTGCATTAGCAGTCAGAGACTGGACTCAGTCTCACACGTTTCTCTGCGACTCTGGAGCATCTGTGCCGGTTTCCTCATCTGGACACGGGTCTTTACTTGCTCTGTATTCAGTTTCAAAAAAGGAGATGATGAGAGTAAAATTGTTTGTTGTTAGACTAATTTAAATAACACCAGGGTTCTACAAATCAGTCAAATCTCTAAATTTAGGGAGGAATAATATAGTTGTTCTACTAGGAGAGGCACATTTAATCAACACATTTACTTGCTTTTTTGTAAAATAAGAAAGAAAAACCAGAAGACATGGGTTATTAAGTGAAAATCTCAGTGACAGGCTGGGATACCTCCATATGAGTTATTGGTCAGGGAGGCCTTATAGGCACCTAAAACAATACAGGCTATTGCCATTGCTCTTGGCTGCCCACCCCGACTACGTGGTTCCCACCAGTCACTCTGGGTGCAGGACATAGAGAAATCAACCTTGACTGACCAGGAAACTCTGTCTCTAGGTCATGTGCCAGAAGGTGCTATGCAGGCTGCTGGGAAAGAACTGACAACAATGGTCTTACCCAGCACTGGGCCCTGCATGCCTCAATACTGATATGCCTGGCAAAATATGCCCACTGGTGTAACACTGACACAACAGTTACAGGGGTAACCAACTGCTTTCTAATTGGATATGAAGCCTGATGTACAGGAGGGATTTCATGCCTAGAACTATTAAGTGTGATCCAAAGCCCATAAGTGGGGAGGTCACAGGCACCAAGGAGGAGCCTACTATATTGTTTTGCTAAAAGGTCACACTGTCAAACACCTTCTAAATATCTATGCTTATGCCCACAGACTAGTGTTGCTCTTCATTTTGGTCAGAGAAACTTCTTTTAGAGTGAATAATGAACATTCTGAGCAGAGGCTCAGAACTGGTCAAAGTGCTATGTATAAGTAACTGTGAGTGCTCAGCTGTGGATGAATCATCTAAATCAATCTCTGACTATCCAAGGTTCAGGGAACATCAAGGAAGAAGGGAAAAAATGTAAGAGCTGATGGGTGGGGAGAAGAGCTGCCAAATGCTGACTTCTGCAATGACACGGCTATTCTATATATCAGTAGCTGTGGTCACCTGCACAAGATCAAGCCAGTTAAAATTCCAGTGCAGATGGGAGAGGAGACTCAAGATTCCACCCCTTGTGGAGAGCTATTGGCAGTTGCTGGCTGCTAAAAGAGGGAGAGTCACGCTCCTTGGGGACATGGCCTCTAGCAGGCTGCCCCATACCCCAGCAGATGTCCCATACTCAGGCACACATGGGTAGCACTAAATGAGCTAGGGGTAATTAGCAACAACAACCAAGAGGAGGACATTAAGTTGGGAGAGGGTGAAGGGGCAACAGGGAGAGCTGGAGGGAGGTAGTGGTGGATGGGCATGATCAAAATACATTGCATAAATGTGTGAAAATTTCAAAGAATAAAGATTAAAAAGAAAAGAAAGAAAGAAAGAAAAAGAGAAAGAAGGAAAGAGAGAAAGAAAGAAAGAAAGAAAGAAAAAAAGAAAAAAAAAGAAAGAAAGAAAGCGAGCCATAAGCAGCTGGTAAGACACTGACATTATGTTATGGCAAGCATTATGCTTATACCTTGAAAAACAAATGGGGTATTTCTTACCAGGTTCAGGGAGATCTAATTTTGCCCGCTTTAGTTCTGTCATAGAAATCTGAAGTTGCTCTATTACAAAATCATCCTCGAAGAAAAATTCCTTTGCGAGAGTCTCCTGAAGAAACTCGACGAGTTCTTCCATAGACAATTTCATTAGATGTTCTGAGAAAGGATCAGAGAAATGCAAACGCTGAGTCAACAGTTCCTATTTAGGTTGAAAAGAAGATAAACTCTATTTGAGTGTAGTATGTTTTGAAAGTATATAAACACACACACACACACACACACACACACAACTTACATATGGTATTGTGAACATCACTAAAACTCAAAGGACAAAAATATTTTTTGACATTAGAAAAATAGGCTAATCTTACTGGGAAGGAAGACAGAAAGAGATATATAATCAAATTCTTTCTCATCAGTCATGTCTAGGCACTAAGCTCGCTCAGCAAGAGCGCCTAAGAGACATAACAGAGAAAGCTATCAGGAGGACAGGCGGCGTTTCTCCTTCACTGACCAGAAGCTCTAACCCACATTGGCAAATCTACTTTAACTCCTTACTAGTATTTCAAATTTTCCCTAAAAAATGGATTGTTAATTCTATTTGTGTTTTTTCTACTTGGCAAACTAGTTTTGTTAGAAAAAAGATCCAACTACAGACACAAAGAAATAAAAATCCACTAAGATTGAACTACCTAATCCCCTCCAAGCAGATGTGTATGTCTGTGCATGTGTATGTGTGTCAATTTACAAAACTAAGTTATGCTTTCCAGGTTCAACTTTCTTGCTTTATTCCTATTTAACTGTGTATAAATGGTATCTCTCACTCTATTTTAAAGCAACCAGGGAGAAATAAAGGGAGAAAAAAAGTATCTTGCTAGGTTCAGCTAGCTGTCAATTAAAGTATCCAGAAATAGAATTTTCTGCTTTATCCTTTGTTTTTATTTTTTACCTAGCAAGTGACAAACTAAAAAACTTACGGTATATCTCATGTCTTCATATAGGTATGCCACCATAGAATGATCAAATCAACATGACTGATATTTCCATCATCAAGTACACTTATTATTATGATGAAACCATTTAATATCTACTCTCTTTGCAACTTTAAGTATGTTATACATTACTATTCATTATGGTCACGAATCTATAACACATCTCTAGAATTTATTCTGCTTTAGTGAAACATAATAGTCCTTAGCCAACACCTCTCCCATTTCCTGTCCATCAACTACCATTCAGTTCTTGGTGCTTCATGTGGTGTCACAGGAAATTCACTTAAGTTTTAAGAGTGTTGCTTCCCCAAACAAGAAAAACAAAGTGGCAGGCAGATTTTTTTCCAGAGCTTATTTAGTCTAATGGTATACTGGCAAGTAAAGTAATTGCTGTGCTTAAGATTTATTTACAAAGGTTAGGGAAACATTTTTCTTGTCAAAACTGATCAAGGACAATATAAGTAAAACAATTTAAGAGAAAGTTGAGTGCTACAAAGAAGCATAACATTGTACTCCTAATTTTTCACTGTTCAGGGAACATTAAAATTATACACGTATAGCATACTTTTCTCTACTTGTAATCCATAAAGACAGAGTAATAAAGTAAAGAAAGGAAGGAGGAGAGGAAAAGAGATTTCGCCCAGTTCTCTTAGATAGAACTCTAAGCCCAGGAAGACAACTGCTTTGTTTTCAACTGCTTTGTTCTGGTGCTTTAGTCTGTGTTGGGCGAACACTGCGATTGAGGGAATGACAACACTTCTGGAACCTTTCCTTTCCTTGAAAAGAGGTTACAAATGTTATTTGTATTTTTTCTACTTGGGAAACTAGTTTTGTTAGAAAAAAATTCCAACTACAGATATAAAGAAATAAAAATTCACTGAGATTGAACTACCCAATACCCTACAAGTAGTTGTGCATGTTCAGGCAAAGGCATCTTGTGTTAGGTAGTCTCATACCTACGTGAAGTGTGGTTAGTCTGGCACTCCTTGTTCACTGTCTTTAAGATTGATCTACCCAATACCCTATACATCAGAACATCTAACATGTGCTTAAAACAAGGTCAAACACAGCAGAGAGATAAACTATAAACATGACCCCAGGCTCTCAACTAGTTTAAAATTTACTTGGTATGCCAAACAGATCACTCAAGAATAATGTAAGAGAGCAGGGTATATGATAAATAAAGTACAGTCTGGCCCAGATTGAAAGCACTACATGAAGTCGTATAGCTAGGAGTCACAAAGCTTAAGGCTGAAATAAGACTTTAAAGATAAATATGGTTCCTCATATTCAGATAGAAAACCTGTCATTTCTTGATTTTGAGCAAGGCCAAAAACATCATATTCACTGAAACTGAAGACTTAAAGCCCTTTAGAGGTTTTGTTTTGAAAACCTTGCTACATTTATGCAACTACAGAGACTGAATGTATTTGCCCCAGGAGTCATGATGGTCAAGCCCCACCCAGAGCTTATAGCTGGATGGTGTTCTCTCAATCTCTCTCTCTCTCTCTCTCTCTCTCTCTCTCGCTCGCTTGCTCTCGCTCTGTGTGTGTGTGTGTGTGTGTGTGTTTGTGTACGCCCCAACTAAAGAGACAATAATAGACATGTTTACTCTGGCCATTTACACACACACACACACACACACACACACACAGTTCTTTGCTCTCTCTGTCCTCATTATAAACCTGAGACTTACACCAGTGAATAGACTAAGGTGTCCCAGTGGAAACCAATACTTGAGAACGATATTAGTGACACAAACTGCATTCTACTAAGTATGAAAATGAAACTGATGTAAGAAAAAAAGAACCAAAAATCTTTCAATGTACTTAGCAGCTAATCATGAGAAAGAATCAATGAAAGTCAATTACCAAATGAAAATTCTCTTCTGCTTATTTTCAATATGTTCTTCAAAACTCACAGTTTTTAAAACTACTAAAATATAATAAAACATAAAGGAGGGCCAAGATATCAGAGTTAAAATAATCCTTGATTTTTATAGTCTTTACAGTCAAACATTTTCTTACTTCTGTGTAATTTCAAGATTGTGTAAGACATAGCAGTAAGGACTCGCTCTCCTTCAAAGATGTAGATATCCCATATTCTGAGGTTCAGTGTAAAGGGAGTCTGTGATTAAGAACAGAGCAAAACAGATGTAAGATTAACACGTCCCCTCACCTTGGATTTTTAATTTCACAATTGAGTTCTATAAAAAAATACTTACTCGATCAAGGAAACATTGAAAAAACCATTTCATTGTGTAAAAACTTGTGTAGATTTCTTGAGAATCCTAAAAAACAAACACCTCACAATTTCTGGGTCATAGCAAACAAAATGGCAATATAATACTAAAAGTTAGGAGAGTTGTTGGACGTGCAAAGCTAAGCACAAAATCACCCCATTATAAGTATTTTTCTTACTTTCTCTGCTTTTCTGTTCTTACTTTTAATCAATTTCTACTTCTCAGAATTACCCCAAGTATCAAGTCATCATAATAGGACTGTAACACATTTAGATTTTCATTAGCATATTTTACAGTGAACTGTTTCATTAAACTACTATCTTTTATAATAAAGCATATGTTCAGAAGGAACAAGTTTATATGATTCTTACAATGCTTTGTGTACAATTAAAAATTTGCGAATAATGGAGAAATCACACACCTGTAAAAACTGTATTATTTGTATTTATAAGGTTCATAGACATAATCTGAATCTGTGAATTAGGACTGTGTTAGGCAAACAATATTCAATTGTACAAATCCAATGTTCTTCAAACAACTACTCTGACTAGATAGTGACTGAAATGGACAACATAGTAAGTACATAAGGATGGGAACAGAGGCTGAATTTAACAACTACAGCTTTATTCCTGGGGTGAATGGCTGTAAGGACGGGGCACATCTACCTACCAAGTGTTGCTTAAGTTTGGACAGAAATTTATTCAGTATTTTTTCATGATGTTCTTGAAATCTCAAGAGTTTAGGAAAACCTTGGACAAAAAAGCCTAGAATAAAAACATAAAAACAGTATTTCAGAAACAATACCAACAAAACTCCCCAGTTAAAGAAATGTTAACATATTTACTTTGTAGCTAAAAACAAAAGAAAACAAAAGAACAGAAGAGAAGAGAAGACAACACAACACAACACAACACAACACATCACAACACAGTAATCAGGATGTTTTTCTTCCCACCATGAAAATAATTTTATCTAAATTTCGGGCAGTGAAACTTTTAGCTAGAATTTGTTTGCTCTAGCCTGTCTTTATCATTGTAGAATTGTTAAAGGAGACAAAGCATTTCTAAATTAGGAGGAAAGCTCTAACAGCAAAAGGAAATGGAAACTGAACCCATTTATCAAGAGTATTTTCTCTGATGATGCTGGGCCATATTTTAAATACTACAATGTTTCTAGGCTATTTGAATCTTAACTATCATTTTGATTTACTGTCAGCACACTACACAGTTTATTATATTTTTAATTTACACTAACAATTTCACTACAATCCCATTCCATAAGTTTTTTTTAACCATTTCAAAATTCTTTCCACATGCTATACTACCATCAGCTACTATAAACATTCAGGCACTATGCTATATAAAAATTATATCCCAACCAATTATACATTATAATCTATGGGATTTTTAGGAAGTGACTAATTATAAATAGTAAGTTAGTATTAATTTGAACATTTAACTCATTAAACATAACAACCATTTTTATTCATAGATTTCCTTTCAGACATTTATACAACTGCTTCCAGGAGCATATACTCAACAGACTTATTTCTCCCCATTAATCCTTCCTAACCCCCAATCTGGAGGATTTTAATAGACAGTCTTTGTTTAAAAGCCTGGTGGAATGGATGTCATACCCACTCTTCTTGAACAGTCATGCTTCACATTAGCTCATTAAATTGTCTATTAGATTTAGTGAAACTTATTTTGCTTTGTTTAATTTATTAGCCTCACAGATTTATTTAATCTAAGAGCCCCCCCCCCAGAACATGTGATTTAAAAAAGAAATGGATTTCAAAAACCTAAGGAACACATTATGAAACACTGCTTTTACAATCTATTGGGAAGAACTACTTTTTAAACTTGTTTTCAGTTTTTGAAGACGTGTGCAAACATTTCCAAAGATAAAGATTCTGTCCGTCACTTAGTAATATTTTTTGCAGTCTAATAATTTTATTTAAAAACATCTATAATACTCTATCTAGTGCCACATTCAAGGTCAATTTGATAGAAACCAGGAAGTTAGAAAAATAGCAAGAAAACTCTAATTTTTTAAAAAGTTAATGCATTTCAGTAATAACTAGCTCAAACTTATTAGAAGTATCTAACATGGGGCTGGAGAGTTGGCTCAGCGGTTAAGAGCACTGATTGGTCTTACAGAGAATCAAGGTTTGATTCCCAGCACCCACATGGTGGCTATCAACCATCCAGAACTCCAGTTCCAGGCCAGGGGAATCCAATACCTTCTTCTGACCTCTAGAGGCACTGCACAAGGGTGTACTTACACACATGCAGGCAATACATTCATACATAAAATAAAATTTAAAAATAATAAATGAGAGCTGGAGAGATGGCTTAGCAGTTAAGAGCCATCTGATTGCTCTTGCAGAGGACCTGGGTTCGATTCCCAGCACCCAAACGGCAGCTATAAACCGACCTTGACTCCAGTTCCAGGGGAATCCAAAGCCCTCTTCTGACCTCTGCGGCACTGCACGGCACTGGTGCACTCACATAAATGCAGGCAATACACTCATACACATAAAATATAAAAAAATTATAAATGAAGGAGATCTTAGCAGACCGCCAGAGTACCTGTTCTGGCCTCCCTCTGGCATACGGGCAGAGAACTAAGGGGACTGCCTGAGAGAGCCTGGATCCTGCCTCCTAATCAGGCCATACCCAACTCCCTAATTGGAATTACATGAGGCCCCTCCCAAAGTCCTTGGGCAGACCTCTGCCCTTTGGTAAGATATGGCTGAGATCTTAGCAGACTGCCTGAGAGGGCCGTGTCCAACCTCCATAGGTGTAGTGGCTGAGATCTCAGCAGACAGCCAGAGAGTGCCTGTTCTGGCCTTCCTCTGGCATAGGCACTGAGAACTCAGCAGATTGCCTGAGTCTGAAAACTGGCCTCCTCTTAGGGAACTTCTCAAATTTTGCTCCTGCTACTAGGGGTCCAAACCTTAGAAGGAAGCCTGAGTGTACCTCACTGGAACCTGACTTGGGCTTCTGTGGGAGCTCTTGAGTAGCTTATCTGAAGCCATCAGTTCCCTCCAAAATAAAACCTGAGAGACCCTGAAAACCGGACCAACCAGCTGTACATAACCAACAAGAAAAGGACCAAGGCATACCAATAATACAAACAGAAGCAAACGTCAACTTAATTTTCATATCAGAATCACAAACAACGAAAGAATCCACATGCCAAAACCACAATGAAAGAATAATAAAATTGAAATACAAAACACTGTGTCCCCACCAAACTCCACCAATCCTGTGGAAGATTTCTACAAGGAGAACCCCCTAGAGATAGCTCAGGACACTGAATTTAAAATAGCAGTCATAAGCATGATCAAGGAATTCAATGAATTTAAAGAACACATGAACAAACAAATCAAAGAACTAAAAGAAAACACGGATGAACTTCTGAATAAATTCACAAAAGAGAAACACTGAAGAAAACTCAGGCAGAAATGAAGAAGGAAGTGAAAAACTCAGTAAGTCAACCTGAAACAACAGGGGAAAGCCTCACAGCTAGAATGAATGAAATGGAAAACAGAATATTGACACTGGAGGATAAACTTGTAGAGCTGGACCACTCAAGCAAAGACTATGAAAAATTTTTAAAAACACAGGAATGGAATATGCAGGAGATGTGGGACACCATGAAAAGACCAAATCTACGTATCATAGGCATAGAGGAAGGAGAAAAATTTCAGGAAAATGGTATTAACCAGATCTTTTTTTAAAAATATTTTAATTATTTATTATTTTATGTGTACTTGTGTATTGCCTGCATGTAGATAAATGCACCTGTGTCATGCAATGCCCGCGGAGAACAGAAGAGGCTGTCGGATCTCCTGGAACTGGAGTTATGGACAGTTGTTAGCTGCCATGTGGGTGCTAGGATTCAAACCGGGGTCTTCTGCAAGAACAACCAGAGTTCTTAACTGCTGCACCATCTCTCCAGCCCCTTGACCAGATCTTAAACAAGACTGTAGAAGAGAATTTCCCCAAATTAAGGAACAACAGCCCCATACAAATACAAGAAACACATAGAATACCAAATAGACAGGATCAGAAAAGAAACTCCCCACGGCATATCATAGAAAAAATACTAAGTGTACAGAAAAAAGAGAGAATACTGAAAGCAGCAAAAGAAAAACAAGTCACATATAAAGGAAAGCCCATCAAAATTACAGCTGACTTATCAATGCAAACTATGAAAGAAAAGCCTGGACCAAGGTATTTCCAGTTCTAAATGACAAACGATGCCAGCCCAGAATAATCTACCTAGCAAAAATGTCTATCACAGTTGAGGGGGAAAGAAAAATCTTCCATGACATGAACAGCCTGAAAGAACACAAATCCACAAAACCAGCCCTTCAAAGAACACCTGAAGCCATACAGAGAGCAGAGAAAGGAACAACAACACACCAAGGGCAACGAAAGAAAACAAAGGTGTAATCGAGGAAACACAAAATTACACAGAGAACACAAACAGCAATCAAAAAGATGGCAACCAATACACAGCTTTCAATAGTAACAAAAGACACAGGCTAGGGGCTGGAGAGATGGCTAAGCAGTTAAGAGCACTGACTGCTCTTGTAGGGGACCCGGGTTTGATTCCCAGCACCCACGTGGAGGCTACGAATCGTCCTTAACTCCAGTTCCAGGGAAATCCAAAGCCCTCTTCTGACCTCTGCAGCATTGCATGACATGGGTACACTCACATACATGCAGGCAATACACTCATACACATAAAATAAAAATATTAAAAAAAAAAAAGACACAGGCTAAGTGAATGGACTAAGAAACAAAATCCATCCTTTTGCTGTCAGCAAGAAACCCATCTCACCTTCAAGGACAGTCACTACCTTAAGGTGAAAAGATGGAAAAGAATATTCCAAGAAAATGTCTCTAAGAAATAAGCAGGGGTTGCAATTCTAATATCTGATAAAATAGACTCCAAACAAAAACTAATCAGAAGAGATAAAGAAGGTCACTTCATTCTGATCAAAGGAACAATTAACCAAGAAGATATAGAAGATATTAAAATCCTGAACATATATGCAAACTCTGGTGCACCCAAATTCATAAAAACAACACTACTGGACTTTAAGACACGGATTAACCCCAACCCAGTAATAGTAGGGGACTTCAATACCCCTCTGTCTCCATTAGATAGGTCAATGGCATTACACAGGTCAATTGGACAAAGAATAAACAGAGAGACAGCTGAATTAAATGATATCATAATCTATCAAATGGGCCTAACAGACACCTACCGAACATTCCACCCAAGCAGTAAAGAATACACTTTCTATTCAGCACCCCATGGAACTTTTTCAAAAATTGACCACATACTGGAGCACAAAACAAACCTCAACAATACAAGAAAAACTGAAATAATTCCATACAGTCTATTGGACCACAATGCAATAAAGCTCAAAATCAACACTGGACAAAGCCCTAGTCACTATATGAACTTGTGGTGATTGAAA